CCTGCTGCCTCTCTGCAGAGCCTCGGTTTTGAGTCGTGGCCCTTCTTTTTGGGTTACGTCCCCTCTTTTTGAGGCATGTCCCCATGTTTGCTACCAAATCAACACTGCTTGCACCATCCCATTGGGCCATGCGTAGCTGAAGGGAAAAATTTTATGGCATGTTGATTTACTCCCCTTCCTCAGACAAGCTTTGAGGTCCCTTCCAACCCAAACCACTCTATGATTCTATGATCTTCTCCCAAGAGTCAGCTGAGAACGAGCAGAAAACAAAATTAAGTCAGCCCATTAAAACAGTAAGGCACAAACACACACTGTATTAACTCACTTCATGGTTCAAACACTACCATGAAGAGAGTCGGCCAACTTGAAAATGGAAAAAAATAATAATCAGAATAATGCAGAAAAAACCTGTGCTCATTGTCCCCACAGCGACAGGAGCTCAGACTTGAGCTGACGTACGTTGTACAGAGATGCTGCAGAGGATGGAGCTTCAGTGAGCTGCTCGAATGTGAAAACCAGAATATCACACATACACTCCACCCCTGCAGAACATAACACACACTGGACTAATTTCCTGAATCTATTTTTAGCTTTTGCCAAAGTGGAGACACCTTTCAACCTGATTTTACTTCTCAACACCCACAGAAGCTGCTCGACCAGGGACTGCCTTTACCATCAGCAGACAATACCTTAAAAATACACTTGCAAAGCAAATCGAGCAAATATGTCACCCCCAGCAAGTAACATCCTTAGTGTTACCAAAGAGAACACCAAACTCACACAGGGTTTTATGACACATTTGGGTTTTGTATCGGGAACTGCCTGGAGCCTCAGGAAAAGGCTGGTTCAGCTGCAGAAGCAGAGCAGGAAGAGAAGCAGAACTCACGACCACATGCGTCAGAGAAAACCACTTAACTTAAATCTAAATAGCTGCATTGAAGAGCACCTTCCTGCACCCTTTCATAGCTTTAATAGCAAGTTATTTGAGCTTGTGACAGTGCCACTGGGAGTCCTTGGGCCACCTTAAAGCCCTGAGACACCTGCATGTTCAGGGCTTTGGGGTATGGCCATGGAAGAGCACGCCGGGGCCAGCACCAGTTGCTGCCACAGGCAGCAGAGACACGGGTCAGCTCAGGAAGGACTTCTCACCCATCCCTGATCTTCTGCCATAAGAGTGTCCCTTCCTTCCAGCCATCATCCTGCTTGAATGACATCCTGGTTCCAGTCTGGATATTGTATCCAGAGTCTCCAAGCTGTAAATCAATTCATTCACAAACTGCCTTTTCCTTGTTAGCATAGGGACTATGTACTGAAGTCCCCCAAAACGTTGGTCTGACAGAGGAAAGGAGGAATGCTTCAGAAGAACAGGAGACTGCAGATAGTCCCTGTGGTCTCTGCAAAAAGCCTCGAGCCCCTAAGCACATTGTTAAATGCACCAGGATGTGCAGCAGCTCTTAGCTCTTCCGGACACAGAACTGCTCTTCAAAGCCAGAGCCTAACTGGAAGATGGAAATTTAAGTGTGTTTTGGTAGAAAGAAAACAATTTCTTTGTATGCATGATTTACGACATTGCACACAGTTTCCAGCAGTAACTGGGGACTTCAAAGGCAATAAAAATCCAGTATACTCGTGGGTCCATACACTGTGTATCTGCTGCACACCCTAGAAAAACCACCCCTGCCCAGAGAAACAGCACTTTGGTTCTTCCACTGCACAGACATCCTGAGCCATACCAAAACCCTGAATTACAAACAGAGGCACGAAAAAACCACTTTGGTGCCCTTTTTCCCAGCCCAAGCCAAGCCTGTACATGATGCACCTTCCACCGCAGGGCCAGCGGTCACCCTGGCGTGCTTCAGGATCCCCAGTCGAGGACCCATTTATTCAAATGTTGAGCTACCAGCACGGAGTTGCCTGGAACAAAAACAGTTAAAAGCTGCTTCCCAGAATCGCTATCTGCAAGCCATGCTCCTTGTTACCAGATGGATTAATTGCTGGTCCGAGGGAGCTCAGCAGCTCCAGCCACTTGTTAAGGAGGGTTTGGCTTTAATCCGCGAGGGAGACAATCAGCAGCGGCGTTACAACCTGCTCCAGCGCGAGGACTTCTCTAATTAGTGCCGTAACGAGACCTCACCCGGGCAGCTCCCGGGGCTCTGACACAGGCTACGGCACGGAGACAAAGACCCTGCACCTCTCGGGGCGCAGCTGCGAGGAACCGGTGCGACCGCTGCAGCTGCGGGAGCCAGGTGTTCCGCTGGCTCCATCCACCAACCACCTGAAAATCAAAACTCTGCTCAAAAAAAAAAGACAGCAGCACACTCTGGTTTGCACGTTCTAGTATTGAGGGTTTGAGGGAAACTGTAAGAAATGTTGCTTTGATACCCTTTGGTAGGCAGACTGAGTGTCTTCTAAGTTTCAACATTAAGCTCAAGTGTTAACAGAAGTGAGCTAATCTTGATTCTACCAGTTGCAACCTCCCAAAGCACTCCAGTGCTGAAACAACAACAAGTTGTCCTGCATGTGGAGCACCAAGCAATTCTCTGGTCTTAAGGTTTATGTCCTGGTTAGTGGTTTCTAGAAGGGAGCGAACCCTGTGGCTGGGAATTTTCTACCTGTCCCCACAGCTCAGTCTCAGGATTTCAAAGAAGCAGCACTTGGGAAAAGCACAGTTGAGTCCGTGCAGGATCTCGGCTGCACCTGAAAGTGGAAGAGGGCAAAGCAGCAAGTGCAGCAAAGCACCCAGGTGTTTTGTTCACTGGCCCTTCTTTCTGCAACAGCCAATTTTAGACTGTATGTTCTTTAAGTTTAAAAGTTCCAATAAATGTTTAAACATTCAGATTAAAAAGCCAGGCGACTGTCAAGGTAGCAACCAAGCTGTCACCATGAATTTCCTGCTATGAAAACCTGCATGGCCCTGACCAAACTCTGCAAGGTCTCACTGCTGGGGGCTTTCTGACAGGATGAGAACGGGCTTGCTGCTGCCATCAAATTCATCAGGGCAAAGATGAGGTGCAGGGTCAGCCTGGGTGTCCTCAAGAAGAAGCAATGGTGCTCAGCAGACGCAGTAGTTTATGCCTGGCCACAGGAATTAAACCTGAAATTAATGAGCTGGTCATCAGTGCAAAAAGCAGGAGGTGCTGTGGGTCTCCCCACGGAAGTGTCTGCTCATGGATTTACTCCTTATGCAGATCTTTCTTCTCTTTCTCCCTGAAACCATGGTCAAGTCATAAGAATCACAGAACGGTTTGGGTTGGAAGGGACCTTCAAGATCATCTAGTTCCAACTCCCCTGCCATGGGCAGGGACACCTTCCACTACACCAGGTTGCCCAAAGCCCCATCCAACCTGGCCTTGGACACTTCCAGGGATGGGGCAGCCACAACTTCTCTGGGCAACCTGTGCCAGTGCCTCACCACCCTCAGAGGGGAGAATTTCTTCCTTAGATCCCATCGAAATCTCCCCTCTTCCAGTTTAAAGGCACTGCCCCATGTCCTGTCACTATACACCCTTGTCCAAAGCCCCTCTCCAGCTTTCCTGTAGCCCCTTTAGGTACTGGAAGGTCTCCCCGGAGCCTTCTCTTCTCCAGGCTGAACAGCCCCAACTCTCTCAGCCTGTCTCCATACAGAGGTGCTCCAGCCCTCGCATCATCTCTGTGGCCTCCTCTGGACCCACTCCAGCAGCTCCATGTCCTTCTTGTGCTGGGGACCCCAGAGCTGAACGCAGTATTCCAGGTGGGGTCTCCCGAGAGCAGAGCAGAGGGGCAGAATCCCCTCCCTCGCCCTGCTGCCCACACTGCTTTGGGTGCAGCCCAGGACACGGTTGGCTTTCTGGGACGAGTGAATGAGTGACTAGTTCTGACGTTTCAGAGGGGCACACCTGGAGACCAGGCTGTCCCTCTCACGACCACCATCTCCAAGCAGAGTTTGGACATCCGAGTACTGGACACAACTGCTTGCTCTTGCTGGAAACGAGACATGATGCAGGCTCTGAGCTTAAACACTGTAAAAGCAGGCAACCACCTGCACGACAGTTCCAAGTATCTCATCCCGCATCCAGTACCTTCCAGGACTTGCTACCCTTCCCACTGCTGGAACAACCATCCAGTGATAGAGCTCAGCTGTACAGAGGACCCGATTCCTAGCTCTGGGGTGCCTCCACTGCAAAACAAGGATGCTCCCTCTGGCCCACGCCTACAATGTGCTGGGAGAGCAGGAACGCAGGCTGTCCCCATCCCACGCCTCTGGTGAGGACCAGAAGGA